AAAGAGAGAGAGACAAAAGCAAGAAAAAGAGAAAGAGAAAAAAAAAAACAATTTTCTTTTTTAGTATAAACTCAATGTTTTTTATGGAATTTGAAGCTATATACGTTTTCTAATGTTCTTGCTTTAGTTTTTTTTGATATTTCTTTAAGCAATGGGAAATCTACGTTTCTACCCCCATCTAATTTTCACAGCATTTCAACTTCAAAACTGCTGTTAGAGACTTTTTTAACACCCCAGGAGCTATCCAGGTACTTCAGAGTTTGCTAATTTGCAGACATTTTTTAAAAAGAAATTTCTTACTCTAATTATAATTGGCCATAAAAAAAAATTGGATAACTCATTTGATAGTTCATTTGATCTCATATCAAAATTAAAAACAAAACCCAAGCGTAAATAAACAAAATGATAGCGAAAATATTTTCATTTAATTTTCTCAGGTGCACAGGTCATTTAAATGAAAGGAACAAAATCAAAATTTTTGAGCATAGTTCAATTAGTGTACATCAGATCTACACGAGAAGCTTTTGCTGCTTCAATTTTTCTGTTTTTCGTTCAATTTTATAGACACATTCATGTGCTATCATTGTCAAGGTGGTCCTTGAACCGTGACGCAAACCTGTTTTTGACAATAATCAATAATTTAAAATGGTCTGAGAATTTCAGTCATCGTGAAGGTAGAATTTTAGAGAGAAGAAAGAGAGAAAACAATATGAATTTAGTATAAGTGCAGTATTGTTTTTCTGGGATAGCAAAAAAAGATAACATTTCCAAAAAAATCAGTTTTTGGAAGAAAAAATTAGAAAAAATTACTCAAGCTTTCTAATGACCTTGGCTTAGGTTTCTTGTTTTGAGATTTCAGTTAAACAAAGAGATTAACTTTTACTGCATCGCATTTTCACTGATTCGAAACTCAAAAACTGCTGTCAGATTTTTTGTACTTTTGAAGAATCCCATTTTTTGGACTTCAGGGTTGGTTAATTCGCAAACAGATTTCAAAAGGAATTTTTTTCAAAATATTTAATTGCCCATAAGTTTTTTGAAAGCAATAGCGTGTTTCTTTTTCCCGGCGTTATCAAGATTGAAAACGGCGCTAAATTGCAAACAAACAAAATGATACCAATTAACTTTCAAAACTTTTTTCTCAGGTGGAAAGTCATTTAAATGAAAGGAACAAGATCAAGGTTTAATCGTTTGAATCATTTAGTTTTTCCTGATTTCTGTATCGCCGGATGTTCCATTTGTGCTTCCGGCAGATGTCGAACGCATGGGACCAATGTAACATTTCTCAGCTACCCAGATCTTACTGGCTACAGATTTCTGCCACCATCGTCGGAACTGTTCCTGAAAACTTCCATCAGTTTTTTTCTACAGTGGTCAAATCAATCTCAATTATAGACACATTCATGTGCTATTATTGTCATGGTGGTCCTTGAACCGTGACGCAAACCTGTTTTTGACAATAATTTAAAATGGTCTGAGAATTTCAGTCATCGTGAAGGTAGAATTTTAGAGAGAAGAAAGAGAGAAAACAATATGAATTTAGTATAAGTGCAGTATTGTTTTTCTGGGATAGCAAAAAAAGATAACATTTCCAAAAAAATCAGTTTTTGGAAGAAAAAATTAGAAAAAATTACTCAAGCTTTCTAATGACCTTGGCTTAGGTTTCTTGTTTTGAGATTTCAGTTAAACAAAGAGATTAACTTTTACTGCATCGCATTTTCACTGATTCGAAACTCAAAAACTGCTGTCAGATTTTTTGTACTTTTGAAGAATCCCATTTTTTGGACTTCAGGGTTGGTTAATTCGCAAACAGATTTCAAAAGGAATTTTTTTCAAAATATTTAATTGCCCATAAATTTTTTGAAAGCAATAGCGTGTTTCTTTTTCCCGGCGTTATCAAGATTGAAAACGGCGCTAAATTGCAAACAAACAAAATGATACCAATTAACTTTCAAAACTTTTTTCTCAGGTGGAAAGTCATTTAAATGAAAGGAACAAGATCAAGGTTTAATCGTTTGAATCATTTAGTTTTTCCTGATTTCTGTATCGCCGGATGTTCCATTTGTGCTTCCGGCAGATGTCGAACGCATGGGACCAATGTAACATTTCTCAGCTACCCAGATCTTACTGGCTACAGATTTCTGCCACCATCGTCGGAACTGTTCCTGAAAACTTCCATCAGTTTTTTTCTACAGTGGTCAAATCAATCTCAATTATAGACACATTCATGTGCTATTATTGTCATGGTGGTCCTTGAACCGTGACGCAAACCTGTTTTTGACAATAATCTAAAATGGTCTGAGAACTTCAGTCATCGTGAAAGATAGAATTTTAGAGAGAAGAAAGAGAGAAAACAATTTGAAGTTAGTTTAAATGCAGTATTTTTTTTCTGGGATAGCAAAAAAAGATTACATTTCCACAAAAACCAGTTTTTGAAGAAAAAAAATTAGAAAAAATTACTCAAGCTTTCTAATGACCTTGGTTTAGTTTTCTTGTTTTGAGATTTCAGTTAGCCAAAGACAATAATTTTTACCGCATCGCATTTTCACTGATTCGAAACTCGAAAATTGCTGTCAGATTTTTTGTACTTTGAAGAATCCCATTTTTTGGACTTCAGAGTTTGTTAATTTGCGGACAATTTTCAGCCATAGGCATGTTAAAACACCATAAACATGTTGAAACAGAATGAAAAAGGTCTTTGCAAAAAATACTTGGTACTAGATTGACCTAATGTTAAATAGAAAAAATGAAAAAATAATCAATATAACCTTTAGTAGCTGTAAGAATTTTATTTTCTCCATTTTCATTTTGTAGATTTCATATGTTTTCTGCTGAAGATGATTTTTTAGTCTCACATTACTTCTTTATTTTTCGTTTTGTTTCTTTCCAGCGGGAATTTCCAAATAACCTTCTAGTTACTTGTAAAATCCACTAACGCGACAACGATTGTGCTCCCGACTAAATCTTGTTCCATTTGCTGCAACGGTTTTTTATTGGGTTTTTCGGGTTTTCATTGGGTTTTCACTTTTAGATCTCTTCTGCTAGCTTCACCCTTTACGAATAAGAGGCTACTTTGCAGACATTCTTTTGGTTTCCTAAGACGCCTTTGCGCTGGTTCCGGTTTTTGGCGAAATTGGGCTGGTTCCGTTTTTATGGCCCTTGAAATTTAGCTGGTCTACCGCTAGCACATTTGCTCGTACTCCTAGCTGGTGACTGTTTTGCTTGACTCTCACGACTGCTGTGATATTGACAACTTGTTCTTTTGTAGAAAAACTTGTTCAATTGCTCACTTAGATTAAGAAGTCGTCGAATTTTGGCACTAGGATGTTACGCCGCTTAAGAAGTTTAACCGAAAATTTTTTTAGTTTTTACTATATAATTTCTTGTTTCTCGAGGAGTTTCAACACTTCCTCGATAGCGGTGTTTCAGTTTATCTTTGATAGTTTCGTTTTTTCTCTTTTCATGGTCTACCTCATTTGATGTTTTTGGGCTATCAAACTTAAAAAACGACGCCCATCCGAAAATAAACAAAATTATAGCGAATTTTTTTTTTCGGGTACAAGATTCAAATAAATAAAAGGAACAGGATCAAGTTTTATGCATAACTCATTTAGTTTTTCTTGATTTCTGTATCGGCGGATGTTCCATTAGTGCTTCCGGCAGATGTCGAAGGCATGGGACCAATGTACGTTTTCTCGGCTCCCCAGATCTTACTGGCTACATATTTGTGCCACCAACGTCGGAACGGTTCCTGAAATCTGAAATAAAAAGATGCTTAAAACTACCATCAGTTTTTTTTCTACAGTGGTCAAATCAACCTCATTTAAAGTTCATCATAGAGGTTTCTGAGGTTGCGATACTTAAATGCGAACTAGAAATTCAACAAAAGATTTTAACTATACCATATGTTTGATAAAAACACAATGAAAAATGTCTTTGCAAAAAAATACTTGGTACTAGATTGACCTTATGTTAAATAGAGAAATTAATCAAAATAACCTTTAGTAGCTCTAAGAGTTTTATTTTCTCCAGTTTCGTTTGTTAGATTTTATATGTTTTCTGCTGAAATTAATCTTTTAATCTCACAATACTTCCTTATATTCTACTTTGCTTATTTGCAGCGGGGTTTTCATTTGGTTTTTAATTTAAGGGCTTTCCTATTAGTTTCACCCTGTACGATTAAGAGACTACTTTGCAGACGTTATTTTGGTTTCCTAAGTCTCCTTTGCGCTTGTGAAGACTTCTCGTTCTAGAAATTGGGCTGGTTCTTTTTTTTATGGCCCTTGAAATTTATTTGGTCTACCGCTGGCATATTTGCACGTCCTCCTGGTGACTCTTTTGCTTGATTCTCACGACTGCTGTGATATTGAAAACTTTTGTACAAAAAATTGTTTTTTGTTGCTCACTTAGATTAAGAAGTACTCGTCTTTGGCAGTAGGATATTCCACCTCTTTAGAAAATGAACTGACTCTTTTTGTTTTTACGATGTAATTTCTTGTTTTACGAGGAGTTTCAACACTTCCTTGTTAGCGGTGTTTCGTTTTATCTTTGAGAAATTCGTTTTTTAATTTTTGATTGTCTACCTCTTTTTGACTTGGCTCTCATTTCGAGGCCAAATTGTCAATTTTGTGAATTGTAAGCGTATTCCGCTACAAGGACGCTCGCCGATTGTTCTTCGTTTGTTTTTTTTTCATACATTTGATTGTTCCGACAAAACTTTATCATGTTTAAAGACTTGTCTCTGGAATCCAGGAACATATAGACAAAAAATTGTGAGCCTAACCAGTGTACAGTCTGGCCTCGTAATTCTTTGGTATCAAGTTTATCAATTCTATGTTTTTTGCTGCTATACACCATGTTTTCTCTTGATGTTATTTTGGATACATCCTGTAGGTCCTGGTTTCCGCGTCCATACAATTCGACCAAAAAAATTTCAGCCAAAAGTATGCAGACAATTCAGTCCGAGACAATTAAGCCAATAATAGTGACCACAGCAGTCGCGCCAACGAAGTTTAGAGCCGGTTATCGCGCGCCCACCGGCGACCTTAAACTGGACTGTTTTGTCTTGGATTGTTTTTTCCTCCATTACATGATTTTTGGGACTATTTTGTTTGGACTGTTTTGTATGGGACTGTTTTGTATATGCACCAAAAACAGTGCATTTTCGTTGACTTCAATTAGTTTTCAAGGTAGCAGGTAGAACTTTGAATTCCAATGACTGTTTTGACTTTGTTTTGAACACAGAACATAAATCACAATTTTATGCGGTTGCAATCTTCTCCGGATTTGCTGGTGTTGTTAGGAACATCGATTGCTTGATCTGTTCATTTTCATAAGCTGAAGGTTTTTACAATGGCCGGACATCTGAGAATATCCTACGCGCCTATTGACTAAGTCTGCTCTCCCGTTGTGGATGTCTGCTTGCGATGTCTGTTTTTATTTTTGTTAAGCTTCGTGTTTTAGTTCATTAATAGTTCGTTTAGTTCCGACTTCGTAACGGAAGTAACGGAAAACTTGTGCTCGGATGGCAATTTTTTGGTAATTTTTGAGACAAGTTTCGAATTCCTAACTAGCCATTTTTGACATATGATTTATAATCATTCAAAGCGCAGTGTTGTCTTGAGCTTGAATTTAAAAAAATCTTTTACCTGTGATTTTTTTGTAGAAAAGTTATGTGGGTTTAAAGATTGCCATTTCGGACAATTTGGGACAATTAACGCGCGATATATTTCGCGCTATTTACGTGTAAGCAGCGATTTAATACGTCTTAAAAAATCGTTCCAAGTTGGTTGAAGCAAGTTTATTTGCCCTGCTTGATTTGTCACTAAGAGCAAAAACTACCACTTTGTAGTTTATATGGCGTGTGGGTGATAATTTTCACAAAAAAAATATAAACTGAAAAAAAACATCATTTTATTATATTTACTTTTTTTTTCATTTTAATACAGCTCCATAGACCTTAAGGGGCAGTCGGAAAAATCAGGGCTTCGCCCTGATACGGTCAGTCTTGTTTGTAGTTCTTTTTCAACAATCATTATGTATTCTTTTGTTCCAACCAAGTATTTTGGCTTATTTTTTTTATGATCAAAATCCATGCGATATCTATTATTCAAAAATTTTATATTGGAATTTAGAGTGAATATAGTGAATAAAAAGTTATTTTGGATTGTTTTTAAATGTTTAACTCTTTTTTCCAAATCGAGGACGTGTATCATATCATACGAAATTTAGAGCCGGTTATCGCCGCGAAGCGGTGACTCGCGTATAGCGCGCCCACCGGCGACCTTAAACCGAGCAATATCTTCAATTCCAATTTTTTTCTTTCGAATCTAGCGTTTTGTAAAACTAACTGAAATGTCTCAGGCTGAATTTTCTGACTTTTCAATTGGCTGAATTGTCTTTGTCCGAATTGTCTGTGCGCCTTTTACTGCTAGATTCACCGAGGTTTTAATTTTGTCATATGGCCATTGTTACTCTTGAATGATCCTAACAGTTTCACTGTTCTCTTTGGTGGGTTTTCGTTTTTTTTTGTGTGTGCTAATCGGGATCACTGTCTCATCGGAAAAATTGAATCCTAATTTTTTTTGTCGTCAAATTTTTTTTATATCATTTTTAGTTTTATAATTTTCATTTAGAAATCGATTTTTTTGTCCTGTTTTTTTCCTCCATTTTGTCAGCTTCAAAAAACACTTAAAATTCAAAGTGAACCAGAAAAACGGATTACATTTTAATCCGTAAGTGTTTTGATAGGTGATTTTTTGGGTGCATTCTCTAAAACTGCGTGAAGGAGCAAAAATTTATCGTGGCATTCCTCGACCGACCAAATAGAATTGCATTGTTTGACTGTTTCGGTAACGAACTAGCCATAGCATGCTTAGATTCTACCAAAGTTAAGTATAAGCCTTTTTTCGGAGTTGAATATTGACTCATTTTCTCCTTGTTGGTCAGTTTTTAACCTTTGTAGACTTTGCTCCTACTATCAGTGCATTTTCGTTGACTTCAATTAGTTTTCAAGGTAGAAGGTAGAACTTTGAATTCCAATGACTGTTTTGACTTTGTTTTGAACACAGAACATAAATCACAATTTTATGCGGTTGCAATCTTCTCCGGATTTGCTGGTGTTGTTAGGAACATCGATTGCTTGATCTGTTCATTTTCATAAGCTGAAGGTTTTTACAATGGCCGGACATCTGAGAATATCCTACGCGCCTATTGACTAAGTCTGCTCTCCCGTTGTGGATGTCTGCTTGCGATGTCTGTTTTTATTTTTGTTAAGCTTCGTGTTTTAGTTCATTAATAGTTCGTTTAGTTCCGACTTCGTAACGGAAGTAACGGAAAATTTGTGCTCGGATGGCAATTTTTTGGTAATTTTTGAGACAAGTTTCGAATTCCTAACTAGCCATTTTTGACATATGATTTATAATCATTCAAAGCGCAGTGTTGTCTTGAGCTTGAATTCAAAAAAATCCTTTACCTGTGATTTTTTTGTAGAAAGTTATGTGGGTTTAAAGATTGCCATTTCGGACAATTTGGGACAATTAACGCGCGATATATTTCGCGCTATTTACGTGTAAGCGGAGATTTAATACGTCTTAAAAAATCGTTCCAAGTTGGTTGAAGCAAGCTTATTTGCCCTGCTTGATTTGTCACTAAGAGCAAAAACTACCACTTTGTAGTTTATATGGCGTGTGGGGGATAATTTTCACAAAAAAAAATTTAAACTGAAAAAAAAATCAATTTATTATATTTACTTTTTTTTCATTTTAATACAGCTCCATAGACCTTATGGGGCAGTCGGAAAAATCAGGGTTTCGCCCTGATACGGTCAGTCTTGTTTGTAATTCTTTTTCAACAATCATTATGTATTCTTTTGTTCCAACCAAGTATTTTGTCTTATTTTTTTTATGATCAAAATCCATGCGATATCTATTATTCAAAAATTTTATATTGGAATTTAGAGTGAATATAGTGAATAAGAAGTTATTTTGGATTGTTTTTAAATGTTTAACTCTTTTTTCCAAATCGAGGACGTGTATCATACCGGCGAAATTTAGAGCCGGTTATCGCCGCGAAGCGGTGACTCGCGTATAGCGCGCCCACCGGCGACCTTAAACCGAGCAATATCTTCAATTCCAATTTTTTTCTTTCGAATCTAGCGTTTTGTAAAACTAACTGAAATGTCTCAGGCTGAATTGTCTGAATTTTCAAATGGCTGAATTGTCTTTGTCCGAATTGTCTGTGCGCCTTTTACTGCTAGATTCACCGAGTTTTTAATTTTGTCATATGGCCATTGTTACTCTTGAATGATCCTAACAGTTTCACTGTTCTCTTTGGTGGGTTTTCGTTTTTTTTTGTGTGTGCTAATCGGGATCACTGTCTCATCGGAAAAATTGAATCCTAATTTTTTTTGTCGTCAAATTTTTTTTATATCGTTTTTAGTTTTATAATTTTCATTTAGAAATCGATTTTTTTGTCCTGTTTTTTTCCTCCATTTTGTCAGCTTCAAAAAACACTTAAAATTCAAAGTGAACCAGAAAAACGGATTACATTTTAATCCGTAAGTGTTTTGATAGGTGATTTTTTGGGTGCATTCTCTAAAACTGCGTGAAGGAGCAAAAATTTATCGTGGCATTCCTCGACCGACCAAATAGAATTGCATTGTTTGACTGTTTCGGTAACGAACTAGCCATAGCATGCTTAGATTCTACCAAAGTTAAGTATAAGCATTTTTTCGGAGTTGAATATTGACTCATTTTCTCCTTGTTGGTCAGTTTTTAACCTTTGTAGACTTTGCTCCTACTATCAGTGCATTTTCGTTGACTTCAATTATTTTTCAAGGTAGAAGGTAGAACTTTGAATTCCAATGACTGTTTTGACTTTGTTTTGAACACAGAACATAAATCACAATTTTATGCGGTTGCAATCTTCTCCGGATTTGCTGGTGTTGTTAGGAACATCGATTGCTTGATCTGTTCATTTTCATAAGCTGAAGGTTTTTACAATGGCCGGACATCTGAGAATATCCTACGCGCCTATTGACTAAGTCTGCTCTCCCGTTGTGGATGTCTGCTTGCGATGTCTGTTTTTATTTTTGTTAAGCTTCGTGTTTTAGTTCATTAATAGTTCGTTTAGTTCCGACTTCGTAACGGAAGTAACGGAAAATTTGTGCTCGGATGGCAATTTTTTGGTAATTTTTGAGACAAGTTTCGAATTCCTAACTAGCCATTTTTGACATATGATTTATAATCATTCAAAGCGCAGTGTTGTCTTGAGCTTGAATTCAAAAAAATCTTTTACCTGTGATTTTTTGTAGTAAAGTTATGTGGGTTTAAAGATTGGCATTTCGGACAATTTGGGACAATTAACGCGCGATATATTTCGCGCTATTTACGTGTAAGCAGAGATTTAATACGTCTTAAAAAATCGTTCCAAGTTGGTTGAAGCAAGCTTATTTGCCCTGCTTGATTTGTCACTAAGAGCAAAAACTACCACTTTGTAGTTTATATGGCGTGTGGGGATAATTTTCACAAAAAAAAATTTAAACTGAAAAAAAATCAATTTATTATATTTACTTTTTTTTTCATTTTAATACAGCTCCATAGACCTTAAGGGGCAGTCGGAAAAATCAGGGCTTCGCCCTGATACGGTCAGTCTTGTTTGTAGTTCTTTTTCAACAATCATTATGTATTCTTTTGTTCCAACCAAGTATTTTGGCTTATTTTTTTATGATCAAAATCCATGCGATATCTATTATTCAAAAATTTTATATTGGAAATTAGAGTGAATATAGTGAATAAAAAAATTTTTTGGATTTTTTTAACATGTTTAACTCTTTTTTCCAAATTGAGGACGTGTATCATATCATACTAACTGTACTCTAGACCAGATGATTCACAAGTAATTTTCTAATGTTCGAATAAAAAAAAACTAAACCGCAGGTAGAACTTTATGACAACCGATAAACTAATTTAGTAGGTGTACTTAGTGTACTTAGTGGCGTCGTAAGGAACTCTTATGACGGTGTCGCTTTCTTAATGATTTTCTTTGGTCAGCATTAAAAATTCTCAAAATTTTTGATGAAACTTGCTTGGCTAATTTTTTGAGCCTCAGATGATTTTAGTTGCATAAGTGTTCGTGCTCAAAAAAAAACATTACGAGGCCGAAGAATGCACTGGATAGGCGAAAAATTGTGTGTCTATATGTTTCTTGATTCCAGAAACAAGTCTCTAAACATGTTAAAACTTTGTCAGAACGATCAAAGAGAATGATTGAACAAAAGAAAAACAGAGGGAGCGTCCTTGTTGCGGAATCCCTTTACAGTTCACAAAACACACAGTTTGGCCGCGTTATGACTCTAGATCGTTAATTTTTGCAACTATTTCTCTTTATTTCTTACGCCGTTTAATTTATTACTCACTACGAGGCCAAACTGTGCACTGGATAGGCGCACAATTTGGTTTTATTTTGGTCTCTGGAGTCCAGACATGAGTCTTTAAAAATGCTAAAACTTTGTCGGAACGATCAGACACAACGAAAGAACAAAATATAGACCAAAATGGAGCGTCCTTGTGGCGAAATTTGCTCACAACCCGGGTGGACCTCCACAGACCGGAAATGCTAATCATACAGTTCCATAAAATAAGTCTATGAAAAAAAATATAAGGAAATTGTATGACTAATGTTTTCTTAAGTCAAAAAAAATTCCAAGTAATTTTGATTTTTTTTGTTTTTTTTTTCATTCAAAAATCGAATTTTTTGTTCAAAAAAATTTTTTCAAGAAAAAGTTTTTGCATGCATACGTTTTTTAGTGCATAACTAGTCCTGGATGAACTAATGTTGAATTTTTTTTTGATTTTCGCAAACAACGTTTTCAAAAAAACGCTTGAAACTCCTATTTTTGTATTGCAATCTTACGTATGACTTAATCAATGTATGACTTAATCAAAAAATCAAATTTTACAATAAATCATTGTTGAATTTTTTTTTGCCAAAATTCAAAAGTTGGTTACTTTTGTTATAATATTTGTGTAAGACAGCTCTAGGAACATTCAAGTTGTTTTCTGTGCATTGAAAATGCAAAACCATCCATTTTTTGCTGACTATAGCATATAGTAAACCAAGTTCTTCACTTGCGTTCGATTATGAACATAACCCAAAAATTTTCAGAAATAAAATTAAGAAAAAAAGTCAAGTTTTTTTGGTTTATTGTAAAACACTTGTCATACAAATTTCATATAATGGAAAAACCTTATCATAGAGATTTCATACAATTTTCTGTATCTATGGAAATTTGTGGATTTATGTGGAAAGAAGTTTTCGTCAACCCAGGAATTCGCAAAATACACAGTTTGCCATCTTAATGCTAAAACAGAGTTTGATGGATTGAGTGCCCGCGTTGACCAAAAGTGTTACTCATACAATTTCCATACATGAAAAAATGCTTATCATACACTCTCATTAGTATTTTTTCATTTATGGAAACTCTATGACTAGCATTTTTTGAACAAAAGACCTTGGTTACTCAAAAATAGAGAGACCAAAAGTTTGAATGTCTTGCAATAACAATGTATTCGACACGGCCTTTCTTGTCTTGAGTAAGTTTTACACGAAAGATATAACGAAACTATCAAACTTTTAAATGTTGGCAAAAATATTTAAATAGATTTTTTGAATTAGACGTTTTTATAAATCATGCATTGATCGAGGCATACAAAAACATGCCATAGAAAAAAAACGGGAAAAAACTCAATTTTTGTTGATATAGGACTACGTTATGCACATAAAAATCTTGCATTAAAAAAATCTTTTATAGTGTTTCTTTAGTACAAAAATTGTTGTGTGATTGAAAAAAAACAACAGTTTTTTTTTGGTGCAATTTTGAAACCAAAATGGAAAAAGGTTCTGCTGTCGCCATCAAAAAAAGGCTAGTCATAGAATTTCCATATATGGAAATTGGATAATCAGCATTTTTTGACAAAAAAGAATTTTTTTTTTCATTCAAGACGATATACCGAAACAAGAAAAAAATTCTTTGAAAGTTCGTTGAAGTCATTTTTGTAAAAAGTATGAAAATTGTATGGCTAGTAGTTTTTCATAGACTTTTTTAATGGAAATGTATGACTAGCATTTTAGGTCTATGGAGTCAATCCGGGTGTTTCTTATAACATATTCTAAGTTACTCTTTATCGCTTTCATAGTTTCCATCATCTCATCCTCAGGAAGTACAATTTTTTAGCACGCGCTCCCCACAAATTTATTATATATGGGCAAGTTTCTAGGGTAAGTTAGCGAGAAATGGCTGTCATTAAAATATACAAGAGAGAAAAATACGAGAGAAGGATATTGTGCTCGATATCGCTACTTTGTGATTGAATTTATAACAGCTACTCACTTGCGAGATATGAAAAGAATCAGAAGAGGGCTGACGTAAGCGTGTGACATGACCAAGCTAGTTTTCATTTCCTCCAGAACGAAGAAACCCAGATCCTGCTTGTATATTTTCCAGCCGAAGTCTTTCTCTCCAATCGCATACGTAGAGTACAGGTAGTAGTAGCTCTGTGGCGCCCAGCAGATAATCCAGAACACAGTTGAAAAAATCAGGGCAATTGTCAGGTTTCTGTTGCGTAGCTGGAAACAAAACAAACAGCAAGAGGCCATAGGAACATGCACATTCTTTAAAAGCGCAAACTGCATACTTATTTTCGCTTTGCGGAATTAGAAAAACGTTATTTTCAATCATGGTTTTTTCTGCTAGTTTTCAATTAAATGTATCATGTTTCAAACCAAACTGAGAAGATTTTCATTCAATGAAGGAAACGTCTAAATTCATCAGTGCTCTAGAGTTTCTTGCAGAGTGAAGGTACATTAAGCTGATTTAGTACAAACTTCTAGATACATTAAGCTGATTTAGTAATATAATTCTGATTTTTATGATGAAAGTTTTTTATTAGTTTCGGTCGGCTGATCATTAAAAATTAGAAAAAAACTTTCTATCTTGGAACAAATGTGCTTTAAATTCGATGAGTACCACCATCCAAAAAAAATTTTTAATCAAAAACTTGCGAAACTTCTTCAAAACAGGGATTTTCTACAGTTTTCGCTCCTTCCACGGTGAGTTTTGAAAAAGGACCTCAGAGGGTTTACCTTTCTGTTGCGACTGGCACCCATGAGTCGATATCCTGTGACAGAGTAGAGAGTGAGTGAGATGAGAGCGGGGACGAGATAGAAAAACACAGTGTCCAGTAGGTTTTTCACGTGAGCACTTTTGTACATCATTGAGGTACAGCTAACGTAGTTGGTGCCGAAATTAATCCACACTCGCGTTGAAGCTGAAAATGAGACAGTTGTGAGAAAAATCAATATTAGATTTTTGCGATGATATTTTAAATTGTAGCGTCCAATTTTCATCACTCCAAGCCTACCCGCACTGACAAAAATGGATTAGGATCGATTTTAGTATGAAAAAATACGTTGATTAAATTTAGATCGATTTTAGTATGAAACAAGTACAAAAGTTAAATAAAAAAGATGAAGATTGATTTGGAACGATTTAAAATCGATTAAAATTGATCTTAAATCCCAGCCAAAATAATTGATCCAAATCGATTTTAAATCAATTTAAATGCATTTTTTTCAGTCTAAATTTGTTTTCATTTTCAAGGGGATTAAAAAGGATTTAAATCAATTTAAATTGATTTTTTTCATTCGAGTTTTATCAGTTTCAAATTTTTATTGCATTATTTTCTTGCCTATCATTTTTCATTTTTCATCCATAGCGTATTGTAGCATAAAAAAAACCAAATAAAAAGACCAAAATATCGATAAAATATTATGATCTTCTTGCATATTTTGATTTCAAAAACTGATCTATATTTACCTTTTTCTTGATTCATTTCATAAGTTGTTGCTTAAAATCTGATTTACTTTCATGTTTTTCTATGATTTTTTTGCATATAATTGAGATTACAATTTAGTTTTACCTGACACTTTTCTGGTTTGTTACACAAGATTTTGCCCAGAATCTGATTTACAATGGTTTTCTATGATTTTATTGCAAATTTTTGAGTTTAAAACCTGACTTATGTGGATCATTTAAATAAATTCTATAACATCTGGTAAGAGTGTTTATGTTTAAAAAATCGAGAATATAAAATTCCAACCATTTTTCAAGGGGTATGTTTTTTTCGCCGTGTTAGTAAAAAAAAATCGATTTTAGAGTGTCGGAATTTTTTGGACACTTAAATCGATTTAAAATTTTCAAAAAGATCGATTTAAATCGATTTAAAATGGATTTAAGTGAGATTCTGATGGATTTAAGTGAGATTCGGATGGATTTTAGTGAGTCGGAAAATCCATCGAAATCGATTTAAATCGATTTTTCAGACACTTGAATTGATTTAAAAATTTCAAAAAGATCGATTTAAATCGATTTAAAATCCATTTAAGTTCGTAAAATGTACATGTTTAATCGATTTGGATCAAATTAAAATCGCTTTAAAATCAATTTAAATCGACCGGAAACAATTTCTGTCAGTGCGGGTAACTTTTTGCCTTCAGAAACATTTTAACAAAATTTTGGATTGCTCAGCTAGCCTAATAAAAATCAAAAATGCGTCGTCGTTTACGTGGCAAATAACACAGAATGCTCCGATCAATTTAAAATTTGCTGTAACTTTGTGTGATTTTCTCTTTCGTTTTCTAAGGTTGTTTTCATAGGAGGTTAATTTAGGCGATATTTTAATTTAATTGAGTACGGAAAACAAACGTCAAAAGTACAGTACTGAAAATTAATTTTGCTTTTTCTGCCCCACGGCAAACTAAGGTCTGACACATATAACTAATCAGCCCAGTTTTTCCAAAGACTTTGACTGGAATCTTAATCATTACCGAAACGTCCTCGATATGTTATACCACTCGATGCCTTCCTCTTTGAACTGGCTGATTTTTTGTAAAGTTTTTAGAACAAAGTGCATTTATATTGCACATCACAAAAATTTATTGAATAAACCGGCATGATTCACACATGTAAAAAATTAAAATAGATTTGCTTTATCTCAGTTCTATGAGTGTTTTTGGAGTGAAATTGAGTCTAGAAATCTAGATTCGAGAACATGTGTGAACTGAAACAAAAGTAAATTTTTGTGATTGATTTGGATCAAGAAAAATAGTCAAACATCTGAGAGGAGATATGCTGCATCAGATGTTTTTGTTTTTCTTGCTAATGATTTCAAAAATGTGTACCTTTAGGCTTTCTAACAAGAAAAAAAAGCTAGCTCTGATATTGACACTTCAAAAAAAATTCACAATATAATTTAAGATCAAATGACTGTCATAGTTTTTTTCTAAAATAATTGTGTTCATCACATCATTGCTTACTCATGTACTTGTCTTCTTTACTTAATAATTTTTTTATTGGTTCTTTAACGACGTCTACAAGCAGGGGCAGATTTAAGGGGGGGGGGCGGGGGGCGGACGCCCCCCCCCCCCCCCTCAGGGATTCGACCCCCCTGCCGACCCAAAGGGTCCCCCCTTTGATACTTTTTCAGAAATCCATTTTTGGCCGACCGACCCTAAAATTTTCCTAAGGGCGCCTTGGGCGCCAATATATACTAACTTTGAGGGGGAGCGCGCCAAAAAAACGCAATTTTTCTGTCAAAATTTTTCAAAAAGTGCCCAAAAACGGCTTTTTTGACTGTTTTTTTCAAAAGTTTGCCTGCGGCGCAGAAAATTTAGCCAAAATAGGGGCAAAACAGTACTTTGGTAGAAACGGTAGAGCTCAAAAAATCAATTTGGTCGACCTAAAAAAAAAAAAAAGTTCGTCAAAATTTTGGAAAATTTTTTGAAAATCCGCCCCCCCCCCTCGAGAAAATCCTAGATCCGCCCCTGTCTACAAGTTTTTCTTCAATTTTCTCAATTTTTTTATGCTTTTTTAGCAAATATTTTTGCTACTCAGAATGAGGTAGATGAAGCCTTGTCTAAATGAAGCCTTCTCTAGTTTATACATGATTACGTAGTGTTTCAACAATCTTTAGAACAGAATTTTAAAAGTTCTTTGAGTTAAACCTGTTTTTTTTTCAAAAAATAACTTTCATTATCCGTTTTTGGAGATTTTACCGTTTGTTGGCTTTTTTCCTTTTTGGGCTATCCAAATTGCATTTTCTTCCTCATATAGTAACCTCACATGTCATTTATTTTCTTCTAGCTTAGTTTGGACGATGCCTTTGGTGGGTATTCTGAAACTTAATGGCGAGGGTTTGTTTTAGATTACTGTTTGAAACCTTTTAATTTGTTTTCACCTTTTTTGGTCAAAGTGTGACATGGGTTCCATTTTGCTGATTTAAAAAAACTCGTGTTTTTGTTTTATTTGTTCCAGTTTGTTACTTGTAAGAAATATACTTTTTTTGAAACTTTATCAGTGTAAATTCCTTTAATTCAGGATTTTTGAGCGCGTTTTTGAATATAAACTGGGCAAGTACATCTGTTTTTAATTGCGCGTGGTCCTGATTTGCGTTAACATTTTGTATTTCTTCTTTTGTTATAAAATTTTTCTAGCTTCATTGCAGTCATAATGGCAACCAGCCAAAATTTTTAGTCCATTTTTTTCATTTTTAAGTGGTAACAAAACGTACTATACAAAAATCAAAAAATCATAAAATTGATTTAATTACAAAAAAAAACTTGTGCACGAGAATCTTGAGAAAAAGGTACATTCAATGGTTTTTTTCAGGGAATCCTAGCTTTTTTTGTTTTGGAAACTTTAAGTTAGTGCTCAATGCAGAAGGGTTGCGTATTTTGTTTTTTTTTTATGAACGGAATTTGGCTGTTGGAAAGTGACTAATTTTTTGTAAATTTTTGGTCGTAAAATTTTGGCCTATGAAGTCTAATACTGCTTTCTTTAGGGTGCTCTAGCAAAAAATTTTAAGTCAGTTTGAATATCGCTCCGAAAAAATCTATTGACTGACAAATAAAGAGACGGTAATTTTTTATTATTGATTCGTATACTGGAGGAATTGCAATGTACATCTCCAAACTAATCCCAACAGCGATATTATTTATTGAAAGTTGTTGCATTTTTCAATTACTACAAGGAGTTGTACTTATGACAAAGGTTGTATCGGGTTCCGCTGTACTACTATGCTGCAAATTGGTGTCGTTGATGGCAGAGATACTGTTGATGATGAGTTAGTGATGATAAGGTTGATTCTGGTTTGACCGATGATTCAATTATAAAAGTTGGTTCACCATAAGAGAAAGGAATCTTCATCCAGTTGGGAAGTCTGATCATGTTACGAGGATTAGGCAGAGAAGATATTCCTCAAAAAAACTGCACAAGCTGTCGAATCTTACGATGGCTAGCTACTTACTTGAACATAGTCTCCGTTTAGATATTGGCGTTTTTTATCTGTTTGGGGTATATTGCAGTTTTTGTTTGTCGTTAGGGTTTCAAATTCATCGTGTTTGATTTAGTTCATGAAACTCTAGTATGAAAATTTCTATTGGTCCCTCGAAACAATTGTCTTCCATCATTCTAACCATAAAAAAATTTTCCCTTTAGTCTGAGATTTTTTTATCAGAACTCGTTCACATTGAATTTTGTTTAGGATCAATAGCTAATTTGTAGGCTTGTCTGTTTCAGGTAGATCTTGCGAGTCATTTGCCTTTTGCCCTAAGTTTATTTGTTGGGATCGATGTTTTGATTGGGTACTTATGTTATGCTTTACATCCTTGTTTCCGATTCCTTGGTTTTCTGTTTTTTATATTTCTCTGTAAAAACTGTGAACAGTTTCTATGGTCTTCGATATGCTAGTTTTACTTCTACAAGGATGAAATTAGCAAAGGTTTCTTCAAATGTTTAATGATTTTTTATAGTATAATTTGTTAAAAAGGTTTATTGATGATCTCTAGAACATGAACGGTTCAAATTTTTAGAATAGTAATTTTTTGTGTACCCGCATCCAAGTTTAGGCGAAACTAACGATTATAACCGACTATTATGATGATTTTTTGACTATTATAATTGATTATAACTACCAAAACTGTATGTTGAAAAGATCTATAATTGATTACGTAGTGTTTCAACAATCTTTAGAACAGAATTTTAAAAGTTCTTTGAGTTAAACCTGTTTTTTTTTCAAAAAATAACTTTCATTATCCGTTTTTGGAGATTTTACCGTTTGTTGGCTTTTTTCCTTTTTGGGCTATCCAAATTGCATTTTCTTCCTCATATACTAAGCTCACTTGTCATTTATTTTCTTCTAGCTTAGTTTGGACGATGCCTTTGGTGGGTATTCTGAAACTTAATGGCGAGGGTTTGTTTTAGATTACTGTT